CCTCAGGGAGTGGCTGGGAAATAACTGGCTCTCTCCACGTGTTTCAGCTGGGAACCGTGGCGGTGTGGGCAAGCACAGTCTCCCTGGAACACTGTCTCTCTCGGCGCAGGTCACACTGGGCTGAGAGTTTGTTCACCTCGCCCACTGCCAGAGAAGTTCCTGCGGCTTCTGAGTGAAAACCTCCTCTCCCTTTTACCTCCTTTTTGTTCTTGTTGCTTTTGCTGTCTGCTGCTGCCATGAATGGTTGCCCCTCTGCCATGTGCCACTCTGTCATGGAGCCAACTGGATATGGATTTAAACCCCACAAACTATGAGCTAAACAAACCTTTCCTTCCTTAATTTTGGGCATCAAGTGTTTTGTCTGCGCAACAGAGCAAAGTAACTAAGATAAGCAATAATTGCCAACCTTAGATAAATGATATGAAAATACTGTTCCAAGATTAGCTGCATTCTGTGCAGTTAAAACTAACCTGGTTCATGTGGCCTTGACCTCAGATATGAGGACTTCAAGTGGTCAGCCAACGTATATTTTAAAATGTACAAACACCATATACAAAGACAAGAAAAGCTGCATCATCACCAGGATGATGGGATGATTCTTGTAGTTATGCTTTTCATGAACTTTTCAGAGGGGAAAAATAATTGGACATTTTCCCACTCCCCTCAAATCTTTAACATGTATGTCTTAATTACATGATAGGAATCCCCCCTGCACTGGTCTCTACTTATCTTTAATTATAGACAAAGAAGTACACAAAACTAGTTTACTGTTTCTCTGTGCTAGGAATACCTGAAATCCAAAGACAAACTTTAAACAAGAAAAAGTGTGTACTGCTTTTGTTTGGATTCTCAGAGCCCTTAATCTTGTTTTGCCCTTTTTCAAATGCTACCCTTCCAGCTCTACTACACATTCGGGTCTTTAACTCATAAATTTGATCTATGTCCTTTAATCCATTAATTTAAACTTCTGCCTGAGTGAAGAGTTTGGTGAAAAGTTATGCAAATAGAAACCTCTTGTTGGGGTCAAATTCCGAGTAGCAGCTGGAGAGAGAAACATATTTACTAACAGTCACTTTCTTACTGCAGAAAGAGGCCATTTCGGTTGTTCTGAAGAAGCAACTGCCATGTTTACTACTAGATCCTCATAGAGTTGAGCAATTTATTCTCTGACCTGAGCATCTGTCTCATGCAGTGCGAGGAGACTGGCCTCCTGCACCTCCCTCGGTCTCAGATGAAGGAAAAACATGGCCTGTAGGTCATGGCCAGCTGTGAAAGTGGCTCTAATGTTTGTGTAGAAAATGGGCTTTAACTATTGTTTACATTTCTTGGATAACTTCTTCCTTGCTTTTTGTTTTGTTTTGTTCTTTGAAATAATTTCTGGAATGCCATTTGAGAAAAAATGGTTTGCAAGCAGTTACAGATCTTTGTACGATGGTGTTTAAATGTGGTATTCTTCTACTTACAAAAGAGTGTTACAAAAAAGGAAGAAACAGTTCATCAACCTCTGCTTTATGTTGGGCTTTATTGTCTAGCTCAGAGTTAAATCTGTGTTTTAGTGAGAGATCAGGTATAAATATTAGTGAGTGATGATGTACCACAATAAGGTACATTCCTTATATGCGTACAAGGTGCATCTTATAAAGCCAGACAGGAATTGTTGCCTTTGGACTATTGTTCTACTAATACTAACATTGATATTACCACTAATAATTATAAGCTGCAAATTGAGGCAAAAGAATCAGTCCTTACTTCTTTCCATTACCTCCTCTCTGTAGCTTGGTGAGCTAGAGTTGACTTCTATCACTCAATTTTCAGAAACCTATAAAGGTAGCAAGTGTGTGTGATGAATCTCAAAGCAAAAACTGTACATAGAGAAACAGACAAAGACTACCATAGAAAACACATGAGCCATTTCCACTATGCTCAATTTATGGCTTAAGGTCAGCTTAACTTAGGTTATAAAAGCTTTTCCATCTCATCCTCCATCACTGAGCATCTGTGAGCCACCCTGTGGCCTTTCTTCCTCCCTAGGCTGGACTCTGTCAAGGTCCTAGGATATCCCAGCATCAGGGATACTGATCTTTCCAAGGTCACCCCTCAAGTATGCCAGTGCCTCAGACACTGGCCTTCAGTAAGAACTCTAAATACTCGGCCTCTGAAACACTCAACATCCTTTTCCTTAATTCATTCTCCTATTTATAATGTTCTCATTGTCTCTCTCCACTAGACCTTCTTTCTCTTCCTTTGTGAGTACCTCTCTGAGGCAGTTATCTTACTCAAGACTGCCTTTGGCTACATTTTTTTCCCCTCCTAAGACCAGAATCCAAAATGAGATACTTGAAACATCCTTTCTCATGACATCTTACCCCCCTTCTGCAATGTCTTCCAAATCTCTGCCCTGAAATCTGAGCCATGCACAGTTCCACAGTCTGGCTTCTCTACCCTTAGCTGATGGTACCACTATGGATTGATGGTGGGACATGCTTATGGGCAGCCAGTGTTGTGAGAAAGTCGGTTCTTCTGAAGATCTCTCCTCATTCTCCTCATTGGCTTCTGCCACCTTCACGACTGTCCTTGAACTTCCCATCTACTTTCTCTCACACCACGGTTAGATGACTGTGATGCAAAAGAATCTTCAAATGGACCATTTCCCCATCACAACCACTAAACCCTACCCTGCACGCCTCTAATCACCTCTCTTCCAGCTTCAATGCTTCAACATTTTCAAAGGAAGGATAGTTCTTCCTTCCACTGGTTTAATTTTGCAAATAAATAGCTCCCATTTCCTGTAATTTTACTCACTTCCTCTCTCCTTGTTCCTTCCTTACGTCCTATAAATTTACTTAAATTTCTTCCATCTTCAAAACAAATACTAAATCAAGTCACATGGCTCTATAGCCTCTTCCAAAAGTGGGCACTTTCCCCTTCCATTTATAGCCAGATTGAACTTGCTATCTCCTTCATCCTTATTTATTCTTTTTAAATAATTATCATATAAAAGGTACTAAATGTCCACATAAAAATGTGTCAGACATTATGCGAAAAACATAAGGAAAAAAATTCAGCTTCTCCTGGTGATCCCACACATTTATTATGTTTTGTATTTATTTATGCTCTAACTTTTCCATTTCAACCAGGAACATTGTGTGATATACTGCCAATAGACAAGAATACGTTCAAAATTCAAAAATGTTATTATCATTCCTAAAGCAGAGTTGGCAAAACTTCCTTGATATCACCAAATCTCCATAACTGGAGCATTTTCATGACCAATGCAAGACTTTTCCATTTATGCATATATAATATACATAATCTTATTATATATTCTATTCTTTTTCCTTACAAGTATTTTGAGTCTTTATAAATTACGATGTAGCTCTGATTCACCACTCTGAAAGATTATCAAGTCTTTTGGACACATGTATCATTTTTATTTAACCAGTAACGTATAGATGCTCACTGAGTTTTGGGTTGGTAGTTTTTCCTTTTGTATAAATAGTATTGCTAGGAACATTAATGTTTTACTTTGGTGCATATTTGGAGGACAACATTCTGGACAAGGTTCTCATTTCAGAGCCACTAAGAATGACTTTAATATGAGACCAAATGTTAGAAGACCTTAATCTTATATTTTTTCAGGTAGCTATTTATTTGTCAAAATGCATTTGACTCTCTAGTGTCTGCAATTCAATTTCCACCTGCACCTGAGGAAAGGGCATCTGTGGTATTGATGGAGTAGTGAATGCTTTTAGTTCCTCACCCTTCTTTACCCATCTCTGGGATTTGTTTAGTGTTCTTTGTCGTTCCCTTTTATTTTTGCAATTGTCTTTTCCTTGGCCATCTATACAACCACAATTTCCTGGATGTCTTTTTATCGGATGACCTCATGTGAGTTTACCTTGCAGGGTCTTCTTCCTTTGCCTTTGATTCCAGTGCTTCCTGGAAGCTTATATGTGACCCTCTGCTTCTCAGTTTGTCTTCTCATTGGACAACTAAGACCAGTCAGCACCAACGGTGGCTTAACTTTACAGACAATGATGGGTGCCAGTGGGTTTTCCAGGTCCTTATGATACACTGAGCATCATCACTTCACCTTTTGTGATGGATCCTACAGCACAATATAGGCCTTTCTGTTTTCATTCCATACAGATGGGCATAGGGTAGTGTTCACCTGGCTTAACCCAAAATACATGTAAAAGAACATATAATTCTCAGGTTGAGACTTGAGGGGGGCGCTCAGTAAATTGGATTTCTAATTTTAGTTGGTCCAACCAAAAGAATGGGATTATTATGTGTGCCTTATTGGGATTTTCAAAATAGTTTTTAGCCATCAGAGGTACCCAGCATGCAGTCTGAGATAAAATCACAGTTCTCGAACACTTGCAAAACAAACTTGGGCTGAAATCGAGCTCTGTTATAGCAGGAAGTGCAGAGGCATGCTTTGCAAAAGTCCTTTCCATGAGAACCAGTTCTGCACTGCAGAGCACTGCTCACAGGCACAGAGATGCGGGGGTGCTCAACAAAGTGAACTTCAGATCCTTGTCCACCCTGGGCTACTTCTCTACTTTCCTTCCACTTTAGGATCCATCTCCCCCATGCAGAATGTCTGTCAGTTTAGCCAGTCCCAACATATAATGAGAGGAAAATAATAAGAGATAGTTCATGCCTGAAAAGTCAGCTCTACATATTCTGCACTTATGGGGAAATCTCTTCTGCTTAAAATCTTATCCTTACAAGATAAACATCTCAGGAATATATTCCCCGTGCTGTGTGAATTGCTGTGATCAGAGAGTGGAAAGGCTCATTCTCTGTCAAGGCAGGTCACTTTGCAATGGAAGTTGCTGTGAGTAAATCTCATGTCTGAACTCTCCTGCGACTCCAGCTCAGTGAGATGTGGGGGATTGTCTGGAGCTGAAAGCTCATAAAAAGGTAACAGCGGTTAATGCACTTGATTCCTCCTGCTTTCTGTTTGCAGCCTGCTGCCTCCCCAGAGGATACCCCTGAGCTCAGTGCCTTTTTGCGAAACTCTACCATCCCTCATCTTGTCAGGAAGCGAGACGTGCCTGTGCTTCAGCTCCACCGACAGAGCCCTGCAAAAATACTGGTGAGTTGCCTCTGTGTGTGTACAACTGAGGGGAAGGATTGGATTCGACAGGATTCCCTGCTACAGATGGTTTTCACTTCAGGTCTTGTGCTCAGTCTCTTCCGATGCTCAGATATGCCTGACCTTTCTTGGCTGTACAAATTGTGAGAAATTAAAGTGAACTTTCTGTGTGAGGACAAAGAAGCATTTGTGATATAACATTTTCACTCTTCTAAAACCTGCCGCGGAGGTCACTTTCAAGAAATACAAATCAAAGCACCCATTATGACCTTCAAATCCATTTCAAGAACATAAAGTTTCAGCTGTCGGTTCATCCATAGGGACTGAGCTGGTGGGAGTTTGTGATCTTGGAGAAGCACCGTTCGGCCAATAGGCTCTTGGAAAGTTGCACCCGATGCTAAATTTCAGTGTCCTCTGCTTTTCCAGAAGAGGGTGACATAGCCAGATTTCCCAGGCCAAAACCCATGGAGAGTCTCAGTCTTGGGGTCTATGTTAGGTCTAGTCTGAGCTTTACTAGGGCTTAGCAAAACTATTAACAGCACCGATGAATTAGCACTTTTTGGTTCTGTGATGGACCTCTGCTAGATAGAGAGCTTTATCTCCTCAAGTGAATACTTATCCTTTTCCCTATCATTGTGGCAGAGGCTCAAAGTAAGTGGCAAGGTTCATTTCATCTATGGGCCACAGATTAACTCCATAAAAGAATAGAAGGCTAGGGGCTGGGGATTTAGCTCAGTGGCAAAGCACCTGCCTAGCAAGCGCAAGGTCGTGAGTTCAGTTCCCGGTACCGGAGAAAAACAAAAACAAAACAAAACAAAACAAAACAAAAAGAATAGAAGGCTATATAAGCACGTTCTCTAGGCCAGACTTAGAATAAAGGGTGGGTCTGGCCAGCCATGGGTAGTCATGAGATCATTTGCTTCATGCCAGAGAAGCAGACAGGAAATTGTTCTGATTTGTAACCCATAGACTTGGGACTGAAGTTCTCAAAACCCAGATAAACACCCTCTGCTTGTGGGCTGTCTCCCCTTGAGTCTTGAGCCAAGGTGAATTCATCCAGGACCTCAGACTGAGTCCTCAGATGACAGAGAGAAGCATGTGAGGTTCTTTTTCAACAGAATCCTTCATGTTTTCTTTAGTACATGTTTCCAATACATAATCACTTCGTTCATCTTGGAGAAGTGGTGCATAGACATATGACATCTCTATCATTTTTTTTTACTCCCCCCACCATGTTCCGCTGTCCCTCCATCTCCAGAACCCCTTCTCATCTCCACAGAGTCTAGATAAATGGGACAGGAAGTGGGGAACAAGGGAAGTCTTAAACTGACTTCTTTCCTAATGTTGCATTGACCCTGAATTAATTTCATTTTAAAAAAGTAAAAGCAAATATAAAAAGGTGATAATCCTAATGACTTATTTCAGTCTGATAAAGCAGGACATTGCCATATTGAATGAATCATACTCCTGGAAATACTGAACATGTGACCCATCATATAGATAACCTTTAGTTAGTAGTAAAGAGTCAGCAGAATAGAGGACACCAATTCCAGCTCTCAGCCTCATCGATACACAGGCTTTTAGGACTCAGAGTTTTAGTCTGGGATGTTAAAATAAAAGTTCTAGAAACAGGTGATGGTGATACTTGTACAACACTGTGAATGTACTAGCAAAATGTACTGAACTGTACATTCAAAATGGTTTAAATGATTTTTTAAAATTATAAGTGTTTTAAGTGTTCTTTGGCATGCCCTTATTTTTTTCTTCTTGATAGTAAAAAAAATCAAATATAGAAGTGGACAGAAAAGTGCAAGAAGTCAAATTTTAGTAATCATTTAATCTTTTTATTTTAAAGAGAAAAAAGCAATATTAAGTCAAATAAGGAACATGTATTATAATAGAAATACCTGAGGTACATGGCAAAAACTTACGTGGCAGATTATTATTCAAGTACCTGTGAATCTTTATGATAGGTACTTAGTATTTTTAGAAATGTAAAAGTATTTTTAGAAAGTATTTTTTAGAAATATTATTTCTATTTTTAGTGTATTTTAGAAAGGTAAGAGTATTTTTAAAGAAAGGTTATAGTAGGGAGTACATACTCTATCTCTTTTAGGATAAATCAATAAAAATCTGCATTCTGTCACTAAGAAAAAGCTTCTGAGGGGATAAAAGAACAGGCAATGATAATTTGTACCTGTGGAATTCTAATATGTACAGCACAAATGGGAAAGGCACTCTGGAAAACCAATGTAAAATGAAAACTCAAATATGTTAGATTTTGTTTTTGTTGTTTTGTTTTTGTTGGTGCTGGGGACCAAACCCAGGACCTTGTGTGTGCTAGGCAAATACTTTACCACTGAGCCCAGCCTTATGAGTATTTTGTTTGTTTTTTTGTGCATGTTTTATCTTTTTTAATTTCCATTTGATGTCTCATGAATTCCCTGAGACCATGTACATGAATAACTAAATTTATTTTGAAAAGTTTATGTATTTGCATTGTTGGGGTAAATGTTTTTCCTTGTTTCTCATTAAATATCTTTAAGATAGATAATTTTAGTCTTCGAGTATCATAAAAGTATATTTCCCCACAGATGATTGGCATGACAGTCCTTGCTTTCCATATCTGATTTCAATTCATATTTTATTCTTGTTTTCTCTTATTGGGTCAAATCACACTACTTCCCACGTCATCATGTGAAACAACTCTGCATAAAGAGTGATTATGCAAAGTTTATTCTAAAATCAAAAGCGAAATAGGCCCTCCTACAGCTTTTGTTTAGTTAAAAACAACTTGGTGAATCACATTTCTGATTAGGAATTTGAAAGTACAAAATGCCAACATCCTGTGTTGGGATCATAATTTCCAATTTGAATTTCAAAATGCATCTATAACACTGAAATATCATTCTCTTCCATCCTAAGAGTATCTTTGCCTGTCTCATCTTGGCTCCTGCTGTTTTTGTCACTATGTCTCTGTCTCCTCTTCAAACTGTTCTCTCTTGCCTTTCACTACTCAGCTTGGTGAAACCTCATCTTTCTCCATTTCTCTTCAGTATTTGATGCTCTTGGTCATTTCCTGAAACTATCACTTTCCTTGGCTTCCCCCAGAACACTCTCTTCTGATTCTCTTCTTGCCCTTTGGCTAACTCTATCTTGAATTTTTCATGGGCATCTCGTCTTTCCATCCTTAAATGCCCTATACCTCAGGTAATCTTCCGCCCCCTCCTCTCCTCTCCTCTTCTCTCCTCTCCTCCCTCCCCCTGCCCTCCCCTTCCCTGGCTTTCCCTCTCCTCTCCTGTCCTGTCAATTTTGCTCTTTCCAGGAAATGTGTGCATGACCATATTCCCATCATTCCTGATGCTTCCTGCCATTTTAGCCCTACCTTACTGCCTCCAAGACTTGCAAGGTTCATCCAGATGTCGATAGCCACAATGGGGCTATTGATATCACAGTCCCAATGTGTCCAAATCTCTTTTCCCTAATGACTCCCAGGTGTGCCTCTTCTCTAGAATTCCACTTCTCTTGGGCTGGGGATTTAGCTCAGTGGCACAGCACCTTCCTGGCAAGTTCAAGGTCCCCGGTTTGATTCCTGGTACCAAAAAAAAAAAAAAAAGAATTCCACTTCTCAGCAGCACTGGTACCCATCCACCCCATTCCAGTCCAAAGAGTTTCTTACAAGCCTCCTTCTTTTTAATGGCAGGCTCCATGTATCCATTCTACTTCCCAACCATCTCTAAAATTTGTCTTCTCTCCATCCCACTGCTTCAGCTCAGGGCCCCAGCATTTCTCACATGAGTCCCAGCCCTGGCACTTAATCATTCTCCTGCCTCCCACTCTGCCCTCAAATTCCCTTGACCCTCTAAAATACCCACCTGACTGTGGCCCTTGGTTGCAATCCTTCATGGGACAAAAATCAAAGCTCCTTACTTAGCACAGTAGAAAGATTCTTCACCACTTAGACATTCTCTATTTCCCACCTAATTTCCATCTGTCCATCTCACCCCCACATCCCTACCCTCCTCATTCCTGAGCATTTCCTGGTGTACATGGGAGAGCCAAGTGTCAGTCATCCCATCCTGCTAGATAACTCTTTCTCACTCTTAAAGTGCTTCCAGATACCAGCTTCTATAGAATCTTCCAACAGAGCTAGTTGACTGGGATCACCTTCTCCAAGGAGTTTGTAATGGCCAGCTGGCTTCCCCCTTGCCTCCACAGGAGGGATGGGTGGTGCTCATCATGTCAGTCAGGATACATGGGGAACATCAGAGTGCTCACAAGTGCCAGGAACCATAGGGCTTTACAATCTCCTGTTCCTGTCATAGGAACATCAGTGCTCAACTCTGGTTGTACAAGGACAGCCGAGTTGCCTGTACAGTGGACCCTTGACTTACAAAATCACTTGGTTTTGGAAGGCTGGTTGTACCTCAAGTTGGTTGTAAGTTAAGACTATTTGTCCCATAAAAAATGATGGCAATATCCATCATGCATTGCAAATGTCCCAAAGCACCCTTAACTAACCTTTTCATAATAAAAAGGTACATAATCCACATAATTTACCAGAAATACCAATAATTTTCCTAGTATATTCACCAAAAAGTTATAAAATGTACTGAGTTTCCCAGAGACAACTATTCCATACTGCACTCACCATTCAAGTTCATATCTTTGGCTTGCAGGAAGCGGGGATGAAATGAAAGGTGGTTGTTGTTTATGAGAGTCCCCTTCCATAAGAACATCAGGAATCTGGGCTCAGACTAATGCTTATGTACACTCACATACGCTTTTCTAGCATGGTGAGTCTTTGTTTACAACAGCACAAGGGGCCGGAATTCGGATTGTGACTCAAGATTTTGGTCCTAAGCCAAACCTAGAATTCCAGTCATAACCCAAGTTGTTCATATATGAGGCTGGTAGTAGCTGAAGGGTCCACTGTTTTTGGAATCATCATGCAGAAATCTGAAATTATCAGAATTTCCCTGATACACATTGCTAATTGTTTTATTTTTAGAGAGTTCGTCAGTGCTCAAAGAAGTTTCTCCTGGTTTATGTTCTTTGGGTTATTCTATAGTTTATCAGTTTCATTAATGTGAAACACCTCAGTCAAGAACTTCACATAATAGCCAATAATTTTATTTTTATTGATCAGCTATAGTCCATTGGCAAGTGCTTGAGTCATGAAGCACTTATAAATAAGGAGAGTCCACTTACATCCTTATAAAGCACTTTAATCTCTATAAATAAGAATAGTCCACAAGAGAAATTCATGTCAGTGAGGGAGTACACACAAACAGAAATAGCATTCTCTCTAGGTATAGGTTTCCTACAGTGAGTGCTTCCTGGGAATAGTAAACTTAGTATTCATGTAATACACTGTACACCAGCTCTATACATGCTCCCTTATAATGCTGTAAATCCTTGTGGAACATAAAGAAAAACTTTCTGCCCCAAAGTCCCTGAAGCAGTCCCAAAGTTCTAAGTGCAGTGTTGAGCTTCCCTAGTGAAACTGTGTATGGGAGTACATTGGCTATGTTCTCCCTGCTTGCTTTCACACAGCAACGCACCCATACCATTCCTTTCACATAGGCACATATAAGCAAAAGAGTGAGTGCATTTCCACCCTTAACTGAGCAATGCAGAATGTTTTCTGTAGGTGGTATAGGTTTCCTACAGTGAATCTCAGAGTGGCTCAACTTGTCATGGGTCACAGTGACCGCCACACTATGACTGCCACACTATGTCCTTCCTTGGTTGCCCCAACGCATTTGTTTTTTCTTTAAATTAAACAAGATCAGTTAAATCTCCAGGTAAGGCAATGGTTTCTAATGAAATAAAATGTAAATAAACTGGTTGCACTGTGGATGCTCTGCCTCCCCTGAGAGATACTGATGGGCTGCCGCTGCTGTTGTATTTTCCAGAACTGTACAAACATCGAGTGTTTACAAATCTCCTGTGTGGTGGGACGACTAGAAAGAGGTGAAAGTGCTGTTCTGAAAGTTAGGTCACGACTATGGGCCCACACGTTCCTCCAGGTAAAAAAAGTCATTAAGCCCTCGCCCAAGGGTCTCAAAAGCTCAGCAGAAAGCCTTTCTTAAAAGATTGTTAATTTTACTCTTTTAATGTTTAATTTTTATTTTGTTTAAAATATTGATTTTTAAAAATTTCAATTTAAAAAATTTTAATGTAAAAGTTTTACTTGTTTAATCCACAAATATCCTAAAGGAAATCTCTGTGCAGTTGAGCCAAGATTCATTGGTTGTCTTTCCCAGAAGATGAAGGCAATTCAGCCATCCTGAGCCCCGCACCTTCCAGTTGTACCTTAGAGTCATACATATGGATTTAGCTCACCACTGTGTGCCCAGTGCCAGAGTAGGTCCTCAGTGACTATCAACCAATGGGAGGTTGGCGAGTCAACAGACACAATTCCAGTCATGTGTCCTGAAAGCTAAAAATGGAAAAGCCAAAGGGAAATTGTTGTACAAAACTTCTCTTGTCGTGTAGGCCTGCAGCCCAGCCTCCAGCCAGGCCAGCAGAGAGCTTTTGGGGATTATACATGGCTTAGTGCTTTGCCTTATCTGTGGGTGGCATCTAAAACTACCTTGGAGAAGCCTATGCAGTGGTGCATTTTAAAAGTTTACAGTCTCTTTTACGCTAAGAACTTGTAATTCAATTAACTGATACTACTACTATGTTAAGACCATATTGTTTGGGCAAGGTTAAAAAAAAAAACTAAAGTACAACTCCTACCAAGGATATGCATTCTCACTTGCATTTTAACTAGATGAAAACTCATCTAGTTCATTATGCCATGGAAAATCAAATAGTAAAATCTTTTTGGGAATACCTATAAATATAATATTTTGTTTCTCTAGATTTCCATTTGTATTATGTCAAATACTTCTATAGTCTCACATATCTTTGAATTGTGTTTCTGAAATGAATGTAAGGAAAGTTTAAGTTATTTTTTGAAGCCACCTTTTTTTTTAACTTAAAGTAGGGTTTCTCAGCACTGTTAACATTCTGGGTCAGATAATTCTGCTCTGTTGCAGTCTTTCCATTCATTTTACTATGCTCACCAATGTCATTCACTAGAAGCAAGAAGCACCCCACACACATTTGTGACACCCAGTATGTCTCTAGACATTCCCAGTATTTGCTGGGGGCAGAGTCTTCCCCCAGTCTTGACGTAACCAGTAGTGTAGAGTATTTGGTTCTTTATTTTTTTCTCCTTTGGTCAAACCATTATTTGTTTATTCACTCAACACATGTTTACAGAGTGACTTCTACATGCTAGACCCAGCTTCACGGCGAAATAGCAGTGGGCCAAGCAGGCAGAGCACCTGTCTTCACTGAGCTATTATCTCAGTGAATGAGTCAGAAATGAATAAAAATAAATTTACAAAAGAAAGAGCAAGGGAATACATACCATGGAAAAGAGCCTGGGATTTCTTCTAAGTACAGTGGGAAGCCATAAAAAAATAATCTTGGAAGCAATCTGATAATAATTATGCTTTTAAAGAACAAGAGTGAGTAAAGAAATCAATACATAGTTGAAGAAAAAACTTGTGTACTGCTTTTGAAGGGAGTGAAATGGTCACATTAACACAGGTCAATCTTGGAAACATAATATTACGTTTAAAAGGCAAGTCAGGTGGTTTTTCTTGTTTTGTAGAAAGTACAAAAACAAGCAAAACTACACGGTAGATTGGTAAACATTTTAGAGAAAACAAGGGACTGAATGCACAAAATTCAGGAGAGTAGTCAGTAGCCTCTTAGGGTAGGGCCGTTCAGGGAGGGACAAAGAATATGTCAAGGGTTCCAGTAACATCTCATTGAAGTCAGCAGTCAACATTAGGGTCTTCTTCTTGGAATTTCTCCTGCCACCATATATTACAAGTGATGATTTATATTTACACAGTAATCAACAAAATAGGTTTAAAGGGGCAGCACTGGAAGAAGTGGGGCGTTTGGAAGCTACTGTAGCTGGGGGAAAATGAGAGTGGATTACCCTGGGGCAGAATAGCAGAGTGAGTGAGATGAGGTTTGACTCAGGACTGATTTTGGAGGAAAAACTAATAGTATTTGTTAAATTTATTGTGAGAGCAAAGGAGAGGAATTAATAATAACTCAAATTTTTCACCTAAGCCAAATGGAGAGAATGATGTAGGGGAAGGAAGTCTCTTTTGGGAGAGGAAACCAAGAGTTCTTTCACAGCTGTATACCTCTAATTTCCTGGAACATTTCCCCAAACCCTAGCAGCTTAAAACAGTAAATGCTCGTCTTTTCACTGGGAGGCAGGAGTCTGGCCGTAGCTTAGTTGACTGGTGCCAGCACCAGGTCTTTGAGCTGGGTGACAGGGAGGACATGGAAGTAGAGCCTGGAGGACAGGATTTCCCATAAGCTGCTCAAAGACAAGCATAGAAAGTTAGTGTTTGCTGTTGCCAGGAGGCCCAGGTCCTCCCTACGTGGCCCTCTCAAACTATCTCAAAAGTCAGGCCAGTACAGATACAATACTGATTCTTCAATTGCCTACTACTGGGGCTTAAGGCATAGCTCAGTAGTAAGCACTTGCCTAGCATGTCTGAGGCCCTGGGTTTGATCTCCAGCACTGTAAAAATAAAATAAATTTCCTACTTTTGGATGGAATTTATCTCAAAGTACAAATGATGTATCCTGTTTTTCTCTAGTCAAGTAAAACTAGGAATAAGCCACATTATAATAACCACTATGCCAGTCTCCGAAGGGTGATATAATGAACTATCACAGACTATCTTCTAGCAACAGAAATCTACGCCCTCACAGTTCGAAAGTTCAGGAGTCCAAAACTAAAGTGTCAGCGAGCTGGATCCTTCCAGAGGCTCCCTCCCAGCTCAGTGGCTACCATATCCTTTGTCAAGCGTGGGCTGTGGGCACCGCTCCAAGCCTGCCTTTGTCTGCGTGCCACCTTTTGCATATCCATGTATCTTCCTTCAGTCTCTTATAAAGGTACCCTTGTTAGACTGAGAACCCATCCTAACCCATACAACCACACCTCAAACCTTACCTTGATCAAGTCTGCAAAGATACTCATTGCAGTTGAGATCATGCTATTTTCATTTTGTTTTCCATTTCTTTTATTAGTACATGTTGTGATACATAATAAATACATTCCTCATATGAGACTGGGATGGCCATGACTTTGGTAGGTCAATATTCACCCCGCTACAACATGGAAATCTAACCTTGTGCCTTGCCTGAGCCATTCTGAGTGAATGGGAGTTGTTCTGAGCTGCAAGTAAAATATATAATATAGTTGCATTATATCAAATTAATATGTAAATGGGCATTTGTTTTTAATAGTGATGTACATGTGATAAAACAATATCATGAGCAAAAACTATTTGATGCATTTTTGTGCCTCCTGTATTACAGCTGGTAAAATTGTATTTTAATGTATTGAATCATTTACTATTTTAATTTGTTAAATCATTTCTCAAATTAACATAACAGGCCCAAGTTTAATAATTACATAAGAAAATTAATGTGTCTGCTTAATAACAATAAATGCCTGTCTTCACTGGCACACAGGCATGTGTGGAGGTTGAAATAAAAAATCACTGCATTTTACTGTCCAAGTCACACAAGCACATATAACATGTGATACACCTGGGTTTGGGTTTGACTGGCTGGGGGTGGAGGAGGTGGAGTTACCATGGTGCTGTCCCCTGCAAGTGTTCCATTGTCACCTACATAGTTTACACCTAATCCTTGTGCATTGTGGCCAGGAAAAATATCACTAAATGTCACAGAAGGATGTCAAAAGTTTACGATCCTGTGGGGCACCATCGTTAGCTGCCTAGGCCACATGCAGCCCTCAGACCACAGCTTGGGTATATCCATATTACAGTAAGCAATCTTAGGTCCAAAATACAGTAAACAATCTTATATCCCAAAATATGTAAAAGGTAGACCATAGGATCGGTCACTTGTAAAAGAGAAGGGAACCAAGAGATAGAGGGAAGGAGGAGGGAGGGGAAGGGGAAAGAATGCAGAGAAAAAGAATTCGGATGTGTTATGTGCTTATACCCACTCCTCATGGAGGATGCAGTCATTTTGTACTGCAAGGACACACTGACAAAAAATTAGCATTGGAAAAAAAACTCATATCGCTACTAGCAAGCTTTGCTACTCCATTTTGCTGCAAGATTGTAAAATCTTCTTTACTAAATATGCTTAAAATACTTCACTAACCATAATAGCATGGGGAGAAGTAATTAGGAATCTTTGGTTATAAATGTGCTCTTTCCATTCACTGCATGCTTTTTCCATCTACTCTTAAGACAAATCATTACTAAGCTTGGGCAAAATTTTGAATCAGTGCAAAATCAGTGTAGATGCTCTTGCTATTTGATGCCTATTGACAAAAATGTGTGAATGGATGGGTGAGCATGTTTTTTGCATTTTATATATACACATTTACTTGTGAACCTTGGAGGAAAGTGTGTGAAAAACTACACACATACATTAAAATCAAGTTCTAGGAACGAGGACCCCAATTTAAATTAGACAGAATTTCTTTTTTGCTCTTTTCAGTGCATTCCAGTCAGGAGCCCTGAGCTCACCTCCATTCCTGAGCTGCTGTGTCCAAGCCTTTATGGGCTTCAGTTTCCTCATTTGTGAGACGAAGGGATTGGATAAAAGCCTTCTTTTATTCTAAACGATTCACCAATCTGGGAGCAGCTCACCTGGAACCTCTACTGATGCGTTATTTATAATGTTTATTCTATGTAGCTTAAACCAGCATTAACTCCATATTTATTAATACCCTATTTTGCATTGTGGTGACACTTTTACAAAACCAAATAGTTTTGTAAACTTAAGGAACAGCCCCCCTTCCCAAAGAAGACTGTCTGCAAACAGCCAGGGGTCTGTTGCATGGTAAACGCCAGGATAAATGCTTGCATATGAATTACTTTTTTAAATCTTACAATAATCCTGTGGGATACATACCTCTATGACCAGTTGCATCTTACAAAGGAGCAAATGGGATTTA